CTCGGCACGACAAGACAGCAATCAGACAAACATACAAGTTCTGAAAGAAGCCAAACTTTTCTCAAATTAGATTTAATATATGATTATATATAATATCGATAGTAAAAGGCTAAAGGCTTAGATGCTAAGCTTCAACACAACAAATAATAAATAATATAAATAAAAATAATAATAATAATAATAATAGTCTGTTATAATATCAGCACTGCTCACTAGTCAGGAGATCATGGAGACATGCTGGGTTTTGAAAGCTCATTCTTGAATTGTATTGTTATCATTGAAAACTATAATTCTATGTTTACATCTGAAAACGTTTATTTTATGTTTGTGTAAGAATGCTCTTAATTGTTTTGTAGATTGTTAATATGTCTGTGTTACCATGCTCTGAAATTGTATCTTTGCGGTATCCATGTGAAACCAAAACTTTGAGAAAAACAAATAATAATAGTAATAATAATAATAATAATAATAATAATAATAATAATAATAATAGTAATAATAATAAGCAAAATTCAAGAAATACTATGTACAATGTAAATAGAAATACTAAATACAATGTAAAATATACCTTCTTAATGCAAAATTCTCAATGACTAACATTACCATGTTGTGTCGGATAATTAAAATATAAGCCCACCCGGAATATTTAACCTTATTATTTTGGCTGCGTAAGTCGCCACGCCGTAGGCATAGACGACAACGTCGTGTTGAGACACGTTTCAGAGCAAAATGCCTGCAATAGTTATCAGTATGGCGTCCGAAACTGAGCTCATGACGTGGCGTTGGCGTCTGTCGTACAGCAAAGAATCTATTGGCTCCAGCCGCAGAGGCATACGTCTTCCCACTTCATTTTGGTTGTATTTATAATTTTATTTTTCAGTAACATATACACCGCCTCCATCAATTCCGCGATAATAATAGATGATTCAGTTATTGAATCCTGAAAATTCACTGATTGATTTCCAAGTCATGAAGGTGGAAATAATCGCTAAGTTTGCGCTGAATAACCAGTTCTCCTTTCCTTTCAGTAGGCCAAAGTAGTTAAATTTATTGGTTTATTTGCATATTTTGAGACAAGTTAGTTGCCCTTCATCGCTGAAGTTTTTTCGACGTTTTCCTCTTGAAACTTGCGCCCTCATTTCTCCCAGTATCCACAGCACGGAGGTTGAGGGACACCGACATGTTAAAGGGGGCGTGGTACCGGAAAGGAGACCGTAATCCCATTTGCCGTAATTCACGGCCGGCTATAAGGGCGCGATATTGAAAGAGAGCGCGGCGTTGCGAACGACTCCGCCTAATCTACAAAGCCCAGAAAAGTGATTACGATTCGCCAGCTAACGCAGTCATAACCGCCTTCATTGCCGCAGGGGGCCACCGAGGGATGGGATATAGCGGCAGAGGCGGAGGGGGGCTAGGAGGGGAGGGGGGCAGCTACAGCAGAATCATAGAAGTCTTCTCTCTCTTTCTCTCCAATGGCGCTTCGCCACAGCTCGGGTTCTGTCCGCACATCCGCATACTCCAGTCCCTTTTGATCCGTTGTGCAAATTCACAGCTTGCTCCTTAACGAACTCACCTGGCTTCGCCAAGACTGAGATGTTCAAGAACAAAGGCTCAAGTTTTACCTCGACTTTCTTCTGCTGCACGTCGCCCAAAACATCACACAATTTTGCGCTTGTTTTAAATAAACCGTTAAGAGGTTTTTCAACCCAAATCAATGTATTCAAACACATGTGATCCATGAAATGTTGCGGAACATAATGAAGATGTGCATGGTAACACACAATTCAGAAGCATCGCACATCAACAGTCCACCACCAATATCCCTTTTCCACTCATAAAACTTACCATAAACTATGCTTTCGATATTTTACCATTTCTGATTAATTAACTTAAACATTTGAAAGTTGTAACAATTTGCGCAGGCTTTGTTGTGGTTTGTGCTAGTTGCAGGAGGACTGGGACGGGGAGGTAGTTGTCTCGTCAACAATACAATACAGATATCCCACTAACTATGGACCACCCTCATAACGTCTAGGCGGTTCAGGATATCGAAATGCAGTTTTCGCTGAACACTGCGGAATCATGGGACAAGTAGTTCTGCATTGTTCAGCGAAAACTGCGTTTCGATGCCGCGAACCGTTTGGAAGTTATCGGGGTGGCCCATAGTTGGTGGAACATCCTGTACAAAAAAACCTGCAAGTCGATTACTGATGGAAATAATTTTGTATTACGCTGAAGGAACGTTATTAGTTTTCAAGATTTGTCAAACCACGCTCGCCTGGGGAAACTCCACTAAAAGCAATGATCTGCACTAGTGTGTGGATACACTTTCGCGTCAGGAAACGCTCTGAATATTAAGGAGATCGCGTTAATGAGGTTTATATCTGTACCCTGAGAGAGAGAAATAGAGAATGAGAAAGAGAGAGAGAGAGAAAGAGAAAATGTGTGTGTGTGTGTGTGTGCTCAATGCTATCGCTTAGAAGGTGCTGACATCTGGTAGCAATTGTAATGTTTTCAGTTTCACACCTTTCCGATTTCGTTTAATTTCTTTACTGGAGAAGACGAATTTTCGACCGAAGTACTTGTTATCGAGGCCAGGTAACGAAAAAGGGGATAAATCGTATTCTTCTATATAGTAAATTTAATGTGAGGATTTGTGGATGGAGAAACAGAAATTGGAGGATGGATAATTGAGATATTTATCTACAGGTTTGACGTTTAGTTCTTCGTGGCATTAGTCGTTGATAATTACCCGGGGAGTTTGGCGATTATCTGCATTGGTTATGGAAAACTAGGAGTTTGCGAGGTCACTTACATTACGTTAGACTTCATTAATCCAGGTGAAACTCGCGGGTCTTCAGATGGTTTATTTATATATTTTTTGTATATCAGCATTTTTGTATAAATTTTTTGCATGTATGTTTTTGTATAAATGACCTTTTGTCATGCCCTTAAAAGGGCATATTACGGCACAAATGATGGCATGTTGGCATTTATGCCACGATTGATTACGTCATCACACATTCAGTGAATTGCTGCGAGAGAATTGTAGGGAGGTAGCAGTAAATGGAACAGCCGACGACCGTTTTCTCGCCTAGACGTCACAACAAAGTTGTTTCCTAAAATTAAGTTTGATTCTTTAATAAATTTAAAATGCTGTTACAAAATATATTGCATGCAACTCGTTTATAATGTTCATTTATTACATTCGCACAAATTTGAAAACTGGTTCCTAGCGTCGTTCGTTTTCAAAACATGTATTCATCTAATAAAGCTTAACATATGAACTAACGCATAAACTGGTACTGTTATTGTGTTATATGTCGGTGCGGAATTCGTATTGATAGACGAGCGTCTCTGTATCATATCTCACTCTTCTCTTTCGTTGCAGATCTGCGCAAGATCAAGGACGGCTCGTGCTGAGCGCCCCAGCGGAGGCCGTGGCCCCGGCGTCTGCGTGCGCAGAAGCCGACCGGCGCAGAAGCGGCCGTGATCGCGCAGCGCGCAGCAGCGACGGGGCCTCAGAAGGGCCCACCCCCGCGCTAGGCGGCGCGCGACGCCGCCGCTGAAAGCGAAAATTAAAACTACAAATTAATGGCAAAATATTTGTATGGCAATAAATTAGCAATTTCAATGATGATATACTTGATGATTTCGAGTGTCTGCCCTTTCACACATTTCGGCATCATGTCCCCCGGCTGAGTGGTACGACAGAATTCATAGTTGACACTTATTGTTATAAGAAGTATTCTTCAAGTGCCTAATCTGAAACAGCCCTTGTTCTGAAATAAATTAGGAATTAGTGTCACTTTTTCCTTACTTTAAAATACACATAAGGTCAGTGTCATCATGCAAATGCACACAAGCACACATACAAAACAGATTTTGTCTACTTGTTCCTCCCTTGCATAGGGAAGGTTGTCGTTCCCCTTAAATGTTCTTCATTCCTCTTTGCCAATTTATGTTTTCTTTTACGACGCGCTCACATATACAATGGAAGATTACGACAATAACTCCGCGGGATATTTTGAGTTCTAATCGTAAAACAATATCCGAGCTACAAAAGGGAATCAAATATCTTATTTATTCTTTGGGAGTGCACAATGATGAACGATGCCGAAAGCGAAGAATTTAAATTAGACGGATTTTGTACGAAAGAGATACGCATACAAAGATAATGCGTGCGCCATTGAAAATTAATCGTGGATAATTGTCTGATGTTAAGGTAACAGTGTTCATTCCCGTATTCCAATTGTCAGGAAAGCTGATGTTAAAGTAACACAAATTCAGGGGTCTCCCAATGTAGTCACATCTCAAATGGAACATCGATACAAATGAGTTCAACACTAACTTAAGTTCATTATGTTAGGTATTCCGAATTCTTCGACATTCAGCCTTAATGCAGCTCGATGTATGTATTTTGCAAATGTACTATATACCCACTGATTGATGACATAATAGTCTGAAGAAGCACATTCTATAATACCCAGACTTTTAGAAGAAAAATTGTATGAATAATAAGCAAATGTCATACACATGATTCCTGAAAAACCCTCTCTTTTTTTTGAGCATTGAATCTAACTTTTGCCTTGTGTATTTATATTCGAATCTATAGTTATGACAAAACAAACTTACTTAAGTATGGAATTCATCCGTTCATTTCTTGAAGTTGTGTTTTCATGAGTTTTATTCAGCAGTGGAAGTTTAGACAAACAAATTAATAAATTACACTTTTGACAGAGTCGTTGCATACATGGCATTCATCCGAGGACAACATAAAATATCCCTTGGAAAGTTAAAATTCATTTTATAAGGTAGGTATTCAAGGGACCTTCAACAGAACCTTCGTGGGATCGTAAAGGTAAAAATTACCACGAAAAATGAATGCTTGTATTTTTCTCTAACAAACAACAACAAAATCAAGAAACACAATTGCACAAACAAGGATTCTGCATCAACTCTTAATTGTTCAAAATATTGAAAGAAAACATCCGGGTCATTGATGAAATGATAAAAATGAGTCTGGTACTGGCAAAATTATATCCAACACAACTAGGAAAAATTAATAATATTGCATAAACCTATGTTTAAAATCTCAATTATTTCCTTAGGGAAACAATTACATGTGGTATCATTGACGCAATGGTATTGATTCAAATACTTAGAAAAATGTAATCCAACACTACAAAGAGAAATTAATACTGATTAAAGTTAAATGTTAAATCTCTGTTGAGAAAAAAATTACACATGATAGCATTGGTACAATGATGGAATTGATTCTCATACTTTGCAGGTAGATATTCAACACAGCAAGGAAAAATTAATAATATTGCGCAAACCTGAGTTAAAAGTACTACTTACAAAGGTAAATTGCGCATTTGAAAACGTTTATTCAATTAACATTTCTAATACACATTGCAACTAAAGGTACATGACAATTCAAAGTCCATAGAAACATTTTACCATAATCTTGTTCTCATCCTTCATATAACAATTGAGTGTCTTGACTTGTTTAATAGTTTTTAAACGACAATATTTTATTTAACCAAACTACCAGGTATCTCCCACCAGCGTGGCATCGCCCGAACCGGGGCAAGATCTACGCTCCCGACGGTTTTCCCGGTATGTGTTGTAGTGTAGTGTATGTTCATTCATGGTGTGATGGATGAGGATATGACGAGGAAGAGGTAGGAAAGATCTCGCGCGGTCCGTGGCCCGTTTGTTAGGGTACTGCTCCGGCATTCGCCTGGTGTTGATCGGAGAAACCACGTAAAACACCGATCAGAGCAGCCAAATGCTAGAATTCTCTTCCAGACAGCTACTGAATTCGACCTAGCTGGTGCGTGCCTCTGTCGGGACTCGATCCTAGGACCCCCGGTCAGGATCACTGCAGCCACCTCTGCCGGTGATGGGGAACTCGAAGTGGAGACCACAAGTGCCCTACATTTGGGGTTGCTTTCCGCCCGCTTCATTCAGACGCTTTCCCCTACAATCCGTAGAATTTCATTATGAAAGTGACCTGATGTACTATTTTAGGGAATGCTGTATCGGTAGAGAAAATCTAAATCGGATTTCAAGAAAATCTTATTATCAATTGATACAGTTTTCGGAGAACAAACCGACATGCATTAATTTTCCTATTATCATATAAAAATAAGGGATTTCATGTATTGCAACGAGTGCGCGGAGTTAGATACTTGATTTCACCGTGAAAGCCTATTTTTCTCTCACAGTCACTTCATCAGCAGGTAAACAGACTTTTCGCACTATGTTGGAGGAATTTAGATGAGGCTTTAATTCGATAACTAAGAGGAGTTGATTTAAAACAAATAATTACTCCTAATAGACGTATATATATACAATAATAAAATATCTGCTAATTGTAAAGAAGCATTGTTTATTACTTTCTCGTAATCGGAGACTGTACGTAGTATAGAGAAATTTATGTAATTCTGCGGAATATTGATTTCGAGATTTCAATAGAAATACACTTCTGGGTTCCCGTGATACTGAGAGTGTTTTTTTACGTCTGTTTGACTGTCCGTCTGTGAATATTGCTAGCGCCTAAACCATAGGATTTTTTTTCCAAAAAATTAATATTTCCTGGATGATCTGGCTCGGCTCGAGGCTTAGCGATTAAAAAAATCTTTAAAATTTACTTTACATGAAGCCCCTACGACAATTTGCTCAAATATGGATCAAATTTTTTCTTTTAATTTATTTTAAGATACACTTATAAATGTGACATAGGACCGATTTTTACGGTTACCTAAGTATTAATTTTTCGGCGTCTTCCTACTGTCACCTTCCTTACTCCCATCTATAATGGTTTCCGGTCGAATGACTCAAGGAAAATAAATAATTTTGCTTCATATGCAACATCCGGGTTAAAAATGGGTGTTACTAAAATTATTACAAATCAAGTGCTGTTTTTGCAGTAATCCAGGATCTAGAATCGTCTTCGGAGTCGAAATACAAAGGTCAAATACTTTTGAATTGTAACACAGAGAGTATGTTCTTTTAAGAAATACAAAATAATTTAAGTAAAGAGGCAGTTACTGTTTTTACTACATTTTACAAATTAATGTCTTTGGCCAACAATCACAATGAAAAAGCATAAATTGGAAGAAAATTTCTATTTACACTAGAACACAAGGCACATCGAACTGAATAAAAATGTTTCAGTAAGTGTGCAATTACATAATTCCCTCACTATTCACATCCGAATATAGGTGTTGTGGTGCGTTATCGTTGGCATTTTTCATGAAATAATTACAGACGTTGTCATTGCCAACAATAGTATTTAATATAAGAGCAGCTTTCGATGGCTTAGCCATCATCATCAGTTGTCTGCTGGATGGAAGCCACGGAAGGTAGTCGTTTCGTGGCTTCCATCCAGCAGACAACTGATGATGATGGCTAAGCCATCGAAAGCTGCTCTTATATAAAATACTATTGTTGGCAATGACAACGTCTATAATTATTTCATTCATATCTGAGCTAGTATTAGGTTAAAAAATCTTGCAATTCATCATATATACTAAGTTTCAATCTTTGAATCATGTCGAGTATGAATGTGGAAGTTAAAGAATTCTCTTAAATTAATTTTTTGAAAACTTTGCACAGTTATTGGAAGTGAACTGTAAATTGAAGAAAATTACTTTACAAAAGGAAACATCCTAATTTTATTTACTTTTGCGTAAACAAACGCAACGCGTCTCTAAGCCTGTTGGGAGACGTTGAGCGCTTCGCGCTTTTTGGAATAATCGTCCATTAACAACTGCGCGCGAGTAATCCACCATCAATTAACATAGTCCGTCACATCTCGTCTCAGTCACTTGTCAAGAGGACCGCCAGATAGCATCTCGGCGTACGCGCCTTTCTTTTACGCGCTCTTGCGTCACTACCCAGCGGCCAGAATGGGAATAAATTAGGATAGAGGTAGGGTTTCGAACATTTCACAGCGGTGTCTAGCTCTTTGAAGCAGCCAAATTCGTTTTGTCGGAACAAATTTCACATGAGATTGTCCGGGAATTAAACGCGGGCCTCAATGCGTGAAATGCGAGACACTTTGCTCTGAGCCACCCAACTAGCAAAAAATGACTTTATACGTAATGTCCACAATTGTATAAACAAAATTGTAATAAATATCTGAATGTTCAATAGTCTGGTTTCAGTCATGACAGTCAAATAAATTAGTAATAAGTTCATTAACATGTGGCTAAATTATAAGTAACTTTAACGAAGTTTTACTGTAATTTTAAAACAACTCAACTGAATTTATGCAAACTCTTAAACAGAGAAATCGACTAGAAAGAAAGAGCAAATAAAATAAAAAACGAATACGAGCAAGTGAGTGCCATTCGGTGGACACGATCTCTGGTAGAGAGTTGTAGACGTCCAGTCGGACCCTTAGTTTCACGGCGGCACTCACGTCGTTAGTCTCAAGTTGGGGGCAGTTAGTAGGCGATGCTAAGCTCCTGCTTGCCGGCTCAACACGGTTGTGCTAGCCCGGTTCAACACTGGTTGTGCCCAACCAGGGGCCCCCGGCGAGTCGACCCTACGGCGGGATTTGGTGATGGAG